TGCAACTGAATTGTTTTGGCCATCTCCAGCTCTGGTATAGCCTGTACATCCCCAATAAGACCAGGAATATTTGTCACATACTTAACTAGAGTTACAATACACCAACAAGAGAGCGGGAAAGGAGTTTTGTCATTGGATTTGTTTGGTGGTTCAGACCGCAGACAGGTCTGCATCGAATCCCTAAGGCTGACCAGCGCCATGTGACTCCAGAGGATCTATCTCAGCAGCAGGCAGAGACACACGCGTACCCCGGGGAGCAGAGGTTAGTTACCTCTTCTGGTTCATCGAGGCCAGCTGGCTCCATTCGTTCAGGCACGGGTTATAGCAGTGCGCGGCCGAGATCTCCTGGCTGGTGATGCGGTAGCCGCCGACGATGAACAAGTAATTGTCCATCGTGGCCGAGCCGTAGCCACGGACGCTCACCAGGTCGGCGGGCACGTTGTTGGCCAGCGGCAGCCACCGCCGCGCCTCCTCGTCGTAGCGGAGCATGGCCCAGGGCGCGTCCCCCGCGGGGTGCCAGCCGGCGGGCAGCCCCGGCGGGCAGGCGCCCCTGAAGTCCCCGAGCAGCACCAGCGTGGCCGCGCCCCTCATGCGCCGCTCCCGCAGCTGCTGCTGCAGCGCCGGCGGCAGCAGGAGGTGCGGGCGGGCGTCGGGCCGGCGCAGCACCTGGTGATAGTGGGCGGCCATGAAGTCCAGGCAGGCGTCGTGCAGGTCCTGCAGGCCGTACACCTGCGCCAGGCGGTGCAGCTCGAAGCAGTTGCCCAGCCGCACCTGCGACAGCAGCAGCCGCAGCAGGGGCGTGACCTGCAGGTAGGACGCGGCCTCCACCAGCTCCTCCAGCAGCGGCGGCTCCTCCTCGCCGCCCTCCTCCTGCTCCAGCCTGGCCAGGCAGGACGTGTTGATGAAGTCCAGCACCAGCTCCAGCCCCAGGGCGCTCAGCCCCCCGCGCAGCAGCTGCTCCTCCTGGCCCTGCCCTGCCTCCCGCATTCCCGAGCGGTAGAGCGCTCGGAAATAATCACTCTGCTCGATCAGCTTCCTCTTGCACACCGGGTAGCACTTGTCCCCCAGTCGGATCTGCACCATCTCCTCCCCGGCACCGGCCCCATCCCCCGCTTCCCCTTCCCGCTCCCCTTCCTCCTCCTGCCGCCGCCGCTCCGCCAGGGACATCGCTCACAGCGGGCCCGGCCGCGCCGCGCCCGGCCGGAGCCGCCGCGCCGGCTCCTCCTCCGCCGCCCGGGATGGGCCGAGCCGGGCTGGGATGGGCCGAGCCGGGCCG